TGCATTTACATAAACATGTTCTATGTACTAGTATATGGTCTATTTTAGAGAACGTCCCATGTGCAGCTGAGAAGATGCATTCTGATGTTGTTGGGTGGAACACTCTGTAAAGGTCTACTAAGTCCATATGTTCACACGTTTGGTTAAGTTCTGTTATTTCTTTTCCAATTTTTTGTCTAGTTGATCTTTCTCTTTGTGACAGTGGTGTGTTAAAGTTCCCTGTTATGATTGTGTTGCTACTTATTTCATTTTTCATGTCTGTTAGAATTTGTCTTATATAGGTGGGTGCTCCTATATGTGGTGTATAGATGTTTATGATTGTTATCTCTTCCTCTTGAAGCTTCCACCTCACAAGTATGTAGTGATCTTCTTTATCTCTTTTGATTGTTCTTGGTTTGAAGTTCATGTTGTCTGCAAACAGAATAGCTATACCTGCTTTTTTCTGGGTTCCTGTCACGTGGAGTATTGTTTTCCATCCTTTAATTTTCAGTCTTTGAATTTCCTTTTGAGTTAAATGTGTTTCTTGTATACAGCATATTGTTGGATTTTGTTTTCTGATCCACTCTGGTAGTCTGCTTCTTTTGGTGGGTGCATTGAGACCATTTAATTGATGGTTATAACTGATATGTACTGGCTTATCTTTGTCATGCTGTTTTCCTGCTGTTGGATCCTCCTTTTTCCCTCTGTTTAATTGCTTGCTCTGCTTGGTGGTATCTTTCTGTTGTTCTTGAAGTTACACTCTGTTTTATCTCTTTCTAGAATATCTTTTAGTACTGTTTGTAGGACTGGTTTGGTGCTTATGAATTTCTTCAGTTGTTCTTTATCATGAAAATATTTTATTTCTCCATTGAATTTGAAAGATAGTTTTGCCGGGTACATCAATCTGGGTGGGAAGTTTTCTTTCCGTATCTGAAATACTTCACTCCAAGCTCTTCTTGCCTTGATGGTTTGTGTTGAGAAGTCTGGTGTGATTCTGATAGGCTTTCCTTTATAGGTGATCTGTTTCTTTCCCCTAACAGCTTTTAATATTCTGAGCTTTTGTTGAGTTTCTGGGATCTTCATCACTATATGTCTGGGTGTAGATTTAGTTTGGTTATGACTAACTGGAGTTCTATATGCTTCACTTACCTGGATGTCTGATTCTTTTACCATGCCTAGGAAATTTTCTGCTATTATTTCTGCAAATAGTCTTTTTATGTCATTTGTGTTGACACCTGCTGTTTCATTAATACCTATTAATCTGACATTGTTTTTCTTTGCTTCATCCTGCAGTTGTTGAATTATTATTTCCTGGTTCCTTGTTGTTTTTAAGAGATCCCTCCACGTTCATTAGTGACAATGCTGT